AAGTACCTCACTCTCTAATCTATCTGAGTATTCAAGAATTTGCCATCATTATCCTATGGCCACAGATGGATGATTCCAAAGAGCTCCAATCATTTTGTACTTTCTTAAATGAATTCACCCATGCTTTCAATGAAGTAGATGGCAAAGGGAAGCTCTGTGGACACAATACTGTCACTAAGGCAAACAAAGTTATGTCTCAGGGATTGTTCTGGTCCAAGGAGATTGTCAGAACTTCCCAATAACTTGGTAGTTAGCATATCTCTCACTTTATCAAAATCATTGGATGCCCAAGATCTTTTTTGGGGACAAAGTCTTATTAATTTCCATGTCTCCCATGTCTAGCCCCAGTGTTTGTAAATAGAGGGGACTCAAATATTTGCAGAGTTACAAATGAATGGAGTAATGATACTTTACTTATTTATGTTTATAATAGCTGGGCAGAGTTTAGACTAACTAAAATGATAAATGTATGAGTAAGTGATACCCTATGTTGGATTGGGAGATTGAGTTAAAAACAAAGGAGTCAATGAAGGTTATTTTTTATTTTATTTATTTATTTAGTTTTGGCCACCAATACCCTTGGGTATTGCTTTCCTTCCTCTCTGTTCTTTGTTTTATCATTTTAAAACTGATTTTTCCCTTCCATTGTACTGTTGAACAAGTGAGGCCTAAAACACAAGTTTCAGAATTCAATGGTATAGAATCCTTTAAACACTTCCAAAAGAAACTGAATTGGTAATTGTGCGAGCAGAAGAAAGAATTTCTGTTGTTCTGGAGTGGGATGTTTTGTGAATCGGCAGACTTCTGTCCCTGTGACAAAATACCTGAGATAATCAACTTGTAAGGAAGAAGGTTTATTTAGGCTCATAGTTTCAGAGATTGAAGTCCATGATCACTTAGCCCAATTCCTTCTGGGCTCCCTCATGGTAAGGTGGCACACCCTGGTGGGGAATGTGCGGGGGAGCAAAGCTGCTTACCTGGTGGTGGCCAGGAAGTACAAGCTGGAGAGCTTCAAAGAGCATGTCCCCAGTAACCTGTCTTCCTGCCCTTGGGCCTCATTTCTTGAAGCTCCTACCACCTTCCAGTAGCTCCAGCTGAGGCCAAGCCTGTACATATGGGTCTGTGGGGCCATATCAGATCCCAGTTCCAGCAGGAGGGGATTCATGGAAGGGAAGCATTTCTTGTCACCAGTGAAGGTCAGAGGATGCCCGTCATGTCATTGATTGTTTTTGTTTTCTATCTGAAGGCAAAGAAGCAAATCAAAATAGAGGAAAAAAGTGAGATGAGTAAATTCAGTCAAATTTTCAATTGTCTTTTTCATTATTTCCATGTCTTTCAAACCTTTTGGTTTATTTTTATACTTTTCTCATTTTGCATCCTTATGACTTTGCAGGATGGAAAAACAAAATACAAGTAAAAAACTGTTTAACTAAACAATTCTCAAACGCTCCTAGCCACTCGATACAGGGCCCTGAGATGGGACAACTCCCTACTTATCAGTATAGATGTTCCCCTAGTACACTTCTATGTCTCCGTGACAGATTTAGCTTTACTTCCAAGTTGATTTCTTGGGCCGGTAAAGCTCAGAGACATTGGGGATTTATTTTATTAATAAACATCACCCTGTGATTTCATTAAGCATGATTGAAGGCAATATTAAATGGATAAAGTTTAACTTGAATCCAAGACCATTTCAGTCCTAAACCAACTTCATTCAGCTCTAAGATCATGCGCTATTTTGTCAAATATCTCTGTTATCAACCAGTTAAGGGTATTATTTGTCCAAATCATTCCTATGTGCACTCATCGATAAAGGGTGCATCTGACTACAGTTAAATCAAAGGCTATCTTACAGGTGCATGAGAAACTGAAGGAACAGAGGGAGGGCTAGGAAGTCACTCTGTCCCCTCTGTTCTCACAGCTCATCTCCACACTGAATGTAGTTGGACCCAGGGGTCAGGACAGCTTCCATGCTGGAGAAGACTGCTCTGCACACTCTCCAGAAATCACCTCTGTCGGGGAAGAGTTATCGTGGCTTTCAGTGGGATCTCTAATGCAACAAAGCTTCTGGAAGCTCTAGGGCCAGCTTTCCCAGTGAGACCAGAGCTGCGTCATATCCCAGCAGAATTCAGTTAAATCTTCACGCCACCACCCTTTGTAACTCACATCTCCAAAAGCCTCCAACTCTAATGGTTCTTTAAAAACCTGGATCATATTAAATTTGATACCATAAATAAGATGGAGACATATTCCTTGATTGTCCCTGGATTTTTTACTGGTGCTGTTTACATCGTTTGGGGTGTTTTGTGTTTTAACAGTAAAGCTGGAAATTTTTCATTTGTAGTCTAATTTGACCTGATTCAGCAATCTTTCCAATTTAAGTTCTTCTGCCCTGAGGTGTTTGGCACCCTTAACTGACTTATGGTCTCATCGTGACTGTACTTCTATATTTATTATGCAAATTGTTGTGTGAAATGAAAACCAGTTTCTGCTGGTAGAACTGAAATAGGAGGTGTCCCAACACAGGACAACAGCAGGGTTTGTGGTGAATGTCATCTAGTGTTCAGAAGTTGTCATATCCACTCCGAGCCAAACTTCACCGTCACCATTCCCTCATGGAACCCAGAGGCTGGGTCAGGCTTTCCCTGCTCTCCCTACTGACCTGCTAGGACATTTTCTTCCACTGATGGAGTCATCATTCCTTCACCCAGAAAGAGAACAGAGTGCTGTGGGATGGTGATTGGCTACAGCGAGGGCAAAGGTTGGACAGTACTTGGCAGGTTCAATGCCTTCCTCCTCCTCAGTTAGTGGGCCGCTAGTGTGACTTAAGATATTGAGGTTTCTTTAGCACATTTCAGAACTATCTGGCTTTCCTATTGGAATGAGGCTATCCATTCACAACAACAGAATATAGAAAAATGCATAACTTTCAATAATGTAGTTTATTAATTCCTTTAAAAAACAGAATTTTAAAGATTTTTGCCCTTAAACTTATTTTTTTCATTACTTTTGCTGGGATTTTTTTCCCTCATCCTGTTTAATAGAATAAGCACCAGGGTGAAGATTTCCTATAAAATGAGAGGTTTTCCTTTTCATGATGTTGTGATTCCCCCCAACACCAAAAAAACAAAAACAAAAAAAGTTGTTTTGAAGGGAACCAGACCTAATTAAGTCCAGATTCTGTAACTTACTAGCAGTGTCATCTTGGGAAGCTTATTTCATCTCTTCAAGTTCTGAGTTTATTCAATACTAAGTGAAAACAAAGCCCCACCCCAGAGCATTGCCGTGGTCTTGGAACGGTACCTGGCATTCAGCAAGTTTGCCCCCAGCATGGATCTTGGGTGCTCATCTATGGGGAAAGCATTTGGCATTGAAGCATGTCAGTGAGTTTAATCTAAAAAAAAAAGTTCATCATTAGATTAGAAAATGTTTGCCCCCACCTGTTTCAAAGCAGTTTTTGTAAGGGGTCCAGGAGTGATCTGTTAGACAACTTGAGCAAAAGATCTCCTTTAAGTTAAATGTAATCTTCAACACCGTGTTCTTTCTTCATGTGCTTATTAAGCACCTCTAGGTTCTCTTCTTTGGAATTAAGAAATTGTTCTTTTCCACTGGTTTTAGGTTCTCCAATGAGCTACATGTGCCCTGAAAATGTGGCCTGGTTTTCCTTTTCCTCCTCCCCCTTCACCATCCCACTGAAAGCCACGATGATAACTCTTCCCCGACAGGGGTGATTTCTGGAGAGGGTGCAGAGGAGTCCTCTCCAGCATGGAAGCTGTCCTGACCCCTGGGTCCGACTGCATTCAGTGTGGAGATGAGCTGTGAGAACAGAGGGGCAGAGTGACTTCCTAGCCCTCCCACTGTTCCTTCAGTTTCTCATGCACCCGTAAGATAGCCTTTGATTTAACTGTAGTCAGACCCACCTTTTATCCATGAGTGCACATAGGAATGATTTGGGCAAATAATACCCATAACTGGTTGATAACAGAGATATTTGACAAAATAGTACAGGATTCAAGGTCAATCCAAAGTCATTCTTTGGCAGATTCTCTGTCAAAATGTGTGTGTGTGTGTGTGTGTGTGTTTCCTGTCAAGTTTCTACAAAGAACACTTGCTAGGATGAGTCAAGCACCAATGGCCTGGCTTGGTCTGGCCCTCTGGCACCAGGCTGAGGCCGCGGCTGCACAGTAATGCTTTCTGCTCAGGACATTGTGCACCCCCTGTGACCACTTGCCAGGGACCAGCACCAGCCTTGTCAGATCCAGCACCAGCCTTGGTTCCTAGATTCTCTGCAGCACTTAGCACAGGGTCAGGGCAGGCCTGGTGCTCTTCATAGGGCATTCCGGGACCACTCTTGTCCTCTGGGGGATCTCTGGGTTAACACGATTGACCCCATATTTCTGCAGTGGACCCAACTCAATGGGCCATGGACTAGAGTGGAGGAACCGGGATCAGACTGGCTTCTGTGGAAGCACAAAGGCCAAAATGGGGTTTAAGAGCATGAAGAGAGCTTGGAGGCCTGGTGTTCAGGCTGCTCCTCCATGTGGTCCTTTCTACATCTTCTGTGACAGATAGACCTCTAGGCTCTGCTCAAACACTCCTAGGGACAGGGCTGGGGCGAGTCGCCCATGCCCTCCCCAGCCCCACCTTGCTCATAATCCAGAATAGCTGTGTACACAGAACACAGGAAGGAGACTTGGCTTTCTATTTCCATGGCCTTGGACAAGTCAGTTCACGCCCTTGCATGTTTCCCTCTCAAGCAGTACCCCAGCTACTCCAAAAGGTTGACAAAAGGATCAAATAAAGTAGAAAACAGAAATACATTTTAAAATCATGGTGTTTCTCTAAGTATAAGACATCACTGGCATTAGTACTGCATCAGCGAATGAGCGGAAGCACCCCCCTCCTCTCCACATTCTACTGGGGGAGAAAGCGCATTACACTTAGTATTGAAAGTGGGTCTGCAGTGCGTGTCTTTATGGAAATGTGCACCCACCCTCCTGATGGGTGCAAATCCAGGCCAACAATCTCTTTTGAGCATTTGGCAGAAGAGCTCCTGGACTCCTGTGGCTGTAAAACCACAGAGGTTCACAGTTTCAGTGTTAGAGTCGTCAGCTACTGACACTCTTCCTCTGATTTCTTCCAGGAATTTCTATTACATCACAATGTTGCGGGATCCCGTGTCGCGTTACCTGAGCGAATGGAAACACGTCCAGAGGGGGGCCACGTGGAAAACCTCTCTCCATATGTGTGATGGAAGGAGCCCCACCCCCGACGAGCTGCCCACCTGCTACCCTGGGGACGACTGGTCTGGGGTCAGCCTGCGGGAGTTTATGGACTGCAGCTACAACCTGGCCAACAACCGCCAGGTGCGCATGCTGGCCGACCTCAGCCTGGTGGGCTGCTACAACTTGACTTCCATGAACGAGAGCGAGAGGAACGCCATCCTGTTGCAGAGCGCCAAGAGCAACCTGAAGAACATGGCCTTCTTCGGGCTCACCGAGTTCCAGCGGAAGACTCAGTTTCTCTTTGAGAGGACATTCAACCTCAAGTTCATCTCCCCCTTCACGCAGTTCAACATCACGCGGGCTTCCAACGTGGAGATCAACGAGGGCGCCCGGCAGCGCATTGAGGAGCTCAACTTCTTGGACATGCAGCTCTACGAGTACGCGAGAGACCTCTTCCAGCAGCGCTACCACCACACCAAGCAGCTAGAGCACCAGCGGGACCGCCAAAAGCGGCGGGAGGAGCGGAGGCTGCAGCGCGAGCACCGGGCCCACCGGTGGCCAAAAGAGGACGGAGCCGCAGAGGGGACTGTCACTGAGGACTACAACAGCCAGGTGGTGAGATGGTGACCCCCTGCCCACTCCTCTTTCGGGAGGGGGGCGTGAGCAGGTGCACTGACCATCTGTTGGAGACGTTGGGCCATCCAGAGGACCGCTGGCTCCGGGTGGCTGCATTGGGACATCTGCTTCCTCTTGGTCTTCATTTTTATCCAGCTGGAGGTTATCTGCCTTGTTCATTTTTTTTCTTGACATTTTCAACCAGTGACTTGAAGTAGGGTAGGGATGCATCCTACATAGAAAACATTTGAAGGTCAAGGAGAAACAGTGGCCGAAGGAAAGGGTCTGTGTGATCTGTGCAGCCTTGTAGGTGATCCTTTGGGGAGCTGGAACTCTCAGAGATGCACATGAAAAGCCAAGTTATGGCTTGGATGTTCTGCTGAACCTGGTCTGTTTCATACTGTCTCTGTCATGGAAATATTAGTCTTTTAAAGAGAGAGAAAGGGAAGGAGGCTTCTGCCCTTAGATGAGGTTGCACGCCGACCCTCACCTGACTGCCGGTTCTCGTCTTTGAACTCTGTTTGAATGCAGCTTCCATCCTAAGTAATGTGTTTTGTTGCTGCAGTTGTTTTTCAACAAAATCACTGACCATCTCTAGAGACTCGCATCCCACCAACCCTGGCATCCCGGCTCTATGCCATGCTTCCTCCTCATCCTTAGGAGACAGGGAGTGGACACAGGACAGGGGTGGCTGTGGCTGAGAAATGAACATTGGTGGGGTTTTAGGGGAACTGCTTATTTACTGAGGACATCACACTGTACCAATTGTAATCTTCAATGTGAGGAATGAATGATCAATTAAGGGAGAAAAAAAATCAGGAGAAATAACATGTTTAACATTTCCAAACCAGCTACAGAATCTTAGTTTTTAAAAGAATATTTCAGAGTTTAATCTCTTTGGGGACAATCCTCTTCTTTGCCAAGGTACTACCAGGTTTGAAATTCTACTGTTCTAGAAGAAAAGAGATTTAAAAAGAACTTGGCCTAAAGAATAGGAGCTTAGCTGGTATGTATACAAAATATATTTGAGGTCATTACATGAATAATAACTCTGATTTGGGCCAGGAGACACGAACATCATTCACCAGATGGTCATTCCAGACGTAGATACAGACACTACATTCCAACATTCCCAATCTTTGTAGCCTAAAGTTCCTTCCCATGTTGTGTGCACCTGTTCTTAGATTGCGCTATACCCAGCAAATCAGGTCGGAGGGTATAAACTTAACCAAAACCCACTGTATTCCAAGAGCTTATTTTCACCTTTTCCCAGTCACAAGTACAGTAACCAAAAGTGCACTGACCAATGGGGGAAGTAGGAAGGAAGGAAGAGAAAAGTGTGTCTCTCCTCCAACTGGAGGCTCAGAGCGGGTAGAAAGTTTCACACACATTGATGTGATCAGTCCTTCCAAGGAGTCGAAAGACGAGTAAACCTCCTAAGTCAGATGGAGAAGCCTGTTTCATCAACATCCAATGTGTTTGATGTTTAAGCCTGCTTTCCATGGGCCACCCCGCAGAATGCTCTCTGGGGTGGAGAGTCCATCAACCCACCAGCATTCATGGAGAGCTGCTGCACAGAGGACAGCCCCACGTCCCCATCCAATACAGATCTGGAGAAGTGGCTCCCATGCTTCTCTCACTGCCCTTGACTTAGCTGAGGACAGGCTCCCTTGTGCTATGAACCAAGGGAGACCCTTTCTATACTTTAAGGATACTCTGCATTAACAAGGTAGATAGTCTTGGTTCCAGTTTCCCAGATGAGAAAAGTGAAGCCTAGAGACCATAGGTGGCTTCCCCATGGATTGTAAGGTAGACATAGCTGACCGCAAAGTGCAAACACTTTACTTATTCCATCCTGCTCTTCATATGGGATAAGGCTCAGGTCTCCTAAAGCCTCCTGTCAATCATGCAAGAAGCCAGATGTTATTGCCCTGAAATATTTGTCCCTGACCCACATAGGTGGCACAACTGTGATAGCGCCAAGCTAGCAGTGACCCAGAGCCGTGCTGCTTTTGGGTAAGTCCCTTCCACATCACTGATTCAGCAACAAGCTGAGATCAATGACTTCTTGGGCAGCTGCACTTTGTGAGCCATATATAAGAGTGAGTTAAAAGGGGCCAAGAAAATAGCACTTGTCAGTTGGTAGAAAAATGCCAATCAAATATTTGTGTCTCCCCTTTCCAATCATGTGTTCCTAAAGTAGGGAGGGAAGGGACATTGCTGCAGGGACTAATGAGGGGCTGTGTCTCCATCTTCACATTTGGGTGTTACAGTCTCGTGTCTTGCCCAGAATAGAAAGGCTGCAAGCTTTCCTTCTCCCTACCGTTCACTCTGCACTGTGACACACGGACACACACACACACACACCGACAATCCAGTGTTTTGTTACGTGGAAAATCAAAACAAGCTGGAAAGCATTTGGATTGTTTCTTCTAAACCCACTTTACTTTTTGGCAGGGAACCTGTGCCGCGCTGAGACGCGGAGGCAGCCCCTGCTCACTTCACACTGTTCCCGAGGCACCTGGGATTTCTATCAAAAGGCTTTCCACTGCCTTTCTGCTGAAGGCTTGATGTATGGGGCTCCGCTTGAGAACAGATAGCAGGATGTTCAGAGGAGAAGCCATCTCTGTGTGTTGGCCCGAGGCCAGCACTGAGCAAATTAAAAAGACGGACGTGGCCCTCCTCCTCATATCATTTCATTGTAAAGCAGCACACTTGTCACGTCCCCGGGGTCCTGTGTTGATGGAAATGGAGAGTTAGAGAAGTAGTGTGTTCTCTGGAAATTGGCTGCACACCTACATGCGGAGTGGCTCTCAGGGACAGGATGCCCGTGGAAGGCACCTGGGCCCAAGGATCCATGGGCAGTCAGTGACCTCAAGGTCCCAGCCCAAATCAGCTCCAGGGCATTAGTGTCCAAAGCTCCAGAACACACACACACACAAACACACACACAAACACACACACTCACACACACAGGGAGCTCCACGTCCTGTCAACCCCTGTAGTCCCCAGGTGGACACCCTTTCCCTTCTCTTGGCAATGGAAGCCTTAGTGACCACGTTGATATGAGATTCCCTGTGGGAAAAGGGGGAGACATTTTATTAAGAACCAAGATACACACTTATTTTGTCTCCTTCTGGCTTTTTGGCAGCCTGTTCTTGGTAACTGGAGAAATAATCAGTGATCTTAACAAACAATGTTAGACAACAGTTAAGGAAATCATGGATGTGCTCATTTTCATCTAACAGAGTAACTTCACCATAGTTTGACCAAAGGTTTGAAGTATTTAAAGTCTGAGTGGACAGGCTGGGGTCATGGCTCAGTGGTGGAGCACTTGCCTAGCGTGTATGAGGCCCTGGGTTCGATTCTCAGCACAGCATATAAATAAATAAAATAAAGGTTCATTGACAACTAAAAAAAAAATTTAAAAAAAGTCTGAGTAGAGATAGTGCTAATTTGGGAAGAAAGTCTACCAGATAGACTTACTAAGGAGCTGAGACTAGAGCATCAAAACATTAAGATTAAGCATAGTAGGCAGGAATCCCATTTGACCATTTTAACCCAGACATTCAAATAATAAATAAGATTGACGCTATTTTCCTCTCACTTAAGACAAATGGGTTTGATAGCTCTGGTGTGTGACCTTCTCAGAAACCCAGGTCCTCTCTTACTGCTTTTACATTTTCATGTGTGGCACCCACCCCATGGTCCAAGATGGCTGCTGCAGCTCCTGCTATCTTATTTTCATTTATGATGCTAGAGGGGAAGTGAAGAGCAGTTGCTCATATCACTTCCAGTCACATCTTATGGGCTAGGACTTAGACATTAGCCACATCCAACTGCAGAGAAAATGTCTTTACTCTTCATTGCCAGGTACCTCGATAAGTTCGGGGGTTCCATTATGAAAGAAACAATGTGAAAATTAATACTGATAAAAACTATTAGTCTCTGACACAATAGGGAATTGAAAAATACTTCAAGTGCTTTTCAATGTCATTTATTTCATCATAAGTTTTGCAAGGGATGAGATTAAAATTCATCGCTTTGTATAGCGTTTAATGCTTTTCAAAACATTTTTACATCTAATATCTCATCTGGCCTTCATTGCGTTCTTGTGTGCTAAAGGGGAGTTCTATTCATTATCCCATTTGAGAGTTTGGAATGAAGATTTAGAGACATTGAGAGATTTCCCAGAGACTCTAATTCATTAGCAAGTTGCTCAGAGCCGCAGTCTTCCGACTGCATAGCCTTTCCCACTACTGTATGCTGCTCAGCATCCGTTTTGGGATTGGGAATTGCAAGAATATGAAATCTAAGTCTTTATTGATTTATATCTTCCCTCACCTCATTGTGGAACTGCAGTGACCTAGAAACTGCCAAGGTCGAGTTGACTCTCCACTCTGCCTCCAGTGCAGGGGCCTCTGTGAGGGTGAAATGCCCGGGAGATGAGCAGTATTGAGGAAGCCCTTGACCCCGGGGGAGGCGTGCAGACACCTCTGGCTGGATGTCTGCCCTCCTCAACCCCAGAACTACTCACGATGAAGGTGGAGAGGATGTGCTCCACTCCTCGGGGAAGCTCAGTATTAGACATATGCAGACTCAGTAGCGCCTGTTAGTGAAGCTTAAGGGTGATCAATACAAGCCCTGCTCCACTTCTCCTTCCCCAGCTCCCTGAAATTTTATCAGCAGAATATTGCGCTAGTTCTTAGAGGGTTTCCTGGTGTTAAATGAGTTCCTTGGCACATTCGCTAGAGAGAGGAAATGCTTTAGGCTGCAGCAAGCTACCATCTTCAAAGGTTTTTTTTTTTTTTTTTTGATTCCTCCAGACACAACCTGTGGCTGAGACGAGAGTCCCTGTGATGAGGACGTATTGGGGAGGGGAGCCAGGGGGAGCAGGGTAACTACAGAAGAAATGGGGCTATCAAAAGGAGGCAGACCCTTCAAAGATGGAGAGATGATGAATAAAATATGTGCCAGGCAATCCTGAAAAACAGAAAAAGGAGTTTCCTATTTCTAAGATATAGAACAGGGTCAAGCTGAGGTAGCATGTGGACCTCAATTCCTTCACCCACAGCAAAGAACAGGAAAGAGAAGGGCTCTTGAGACTGGACCAGAACACCCGCTGCCTTTAGAGCCGGAAGGCTGTTTGGGTTGGGGAGTGGAATCAAGGAGAAAGCCGGGTTGGATGTGGGTAGGAAAACCCTGGTCGGTCACCACCGTCACTCTAGGGCTTTCCTTTGCCAGTCATGGCGCCTCTGCTGCTCTCCTCTGAAAGCTTCCAAGCTGGGACCCAGTGCCATCCAGGGGGCTGCATTGGTGTCCTCCCAGGTACTGTGGGCATTGCTTGTCATCCTGCTCCTCCATCTCTGCTGAGCATGAGCCCATGCCTACGTCTCTCTCCGCGTTCTCCTGCACACATCTGAACTCATTCCCCGATGCTTTGAATTAGCCCTTCTGGGCCAGCGGGGGGATGCTGAGACCTGTGTGTTTGGTGGCCACGTGCATCTCCACAGTACATTGACAGAACCAACCTGCCTTGCAGAGATTTCCAGAGGACTGGCCTAGCTGTGAACACCAGCAAGACAAAAGCAAGCCCTTCAACGTCCAGGCAAGGGCTCAAGGTAACCTGACAGGATGCCAGATCTGGGAACATGGACACACAGATGTTTCTCAAGCCCGTGTTCCAAATTGTCTATGGAAACCACTGTCACTGCCATGCTTCAGCACGCTGAGTGGGACCTCTGTGGGTTCCGTGTTCTGCTGCACTCTGGCCACTCATCAAAGGGCCAGATGCCCTGCTGGAAAGCCTCAGCCCTTGCTGGGGAAAACCCTGTTCTGCAGAGCGGAGTCTCGTGTGACTTAGTCATTATCACCCAGCCTTCCATCTCCTGGCCTTGTATTTTTTTAATCATGTGGCCATCTTTTCTTTTCCTCCCCTTTTTCTTTCCCCCAGAGTACTTTCTGGGTTTTGCTTGCATTACTATTTTTCTTTCATGTATCAACTCAATGTTAGAAAAATCTGGATCTTTATCTGGTGCCCCATTTTAGATGTAAAGATAGTTATTCAATAGCTAGTAAATTATTTCTCCTAAGAGATATTTCCTTTTGTTTCTGTGCAATAATATGTATGAACTCAGTTACTAGGAGATTGTATTGTGACATTATCAACCTTTATTGCTATTTAAAAATGATAGTTTGTAGAACTGAGGATTTCCATTGATGTGAAGCACAATTTAATGGATAAGTTAACATATTAAACTGTTGTGATGTCAAGAACAATTGTTTTCCCCTGTGTTTTTGTCAGAGACATTTTTGCAAAATGAGAAAAGTTAGTTAAACACTTTAAGGGATTTATGGAAATTGAATCCACGGGATCAGCTTAGTCAAACTCTGCAAATCCATGCTGTGGATACAAATGTGGTTATCGGATGGGAAACTCTAAAAGTCATCAGAGACAAAGGAAATAGGGATTGAAACAATTTAGAGCCTGTGAGGCCAGGAGGATTCCAGAGGCTCTGAAACACATTAGCTTCTAAAGCATGGTGCTCCTAGCCCCCACCCCCACCCCCACACTGCCCACCTCAGCACCTTGAAGTCGGCTGTGAAATGTGGAAGAGCCACCAGGAGATGAAGGAAGAGGTAAAGACTTGAGAAAGACTGGTGGGAGAGAAACATATTGGAGTAAAGAATCTGGGAATTCCATTTAACAGAAAGAAAGAGAACAGGAAGGAAGGAGGAGAGGAGGAAAGGGAGAGAAACCCACAGTAGTGAGCTCTAACAGGGTTTCTCCATGGATTCAAGTGTAGGATTCAATGTGAGATTTTTTTTTAAAAAAAAAGCTTGTTTCCATAATAAAAGCAAAGAAGGAGAAATTTCTAGCAGAGAAAAAAATTCATTTGAAATTCTCTTGAATGGTGCAATTTATAATTTTTTTTTTCTGTTCTGTGAAGTGGAAGCTGTAGGTCCTTGCTTGTGGGTGAGAATTTTTAACTATAGAAAAAATGGCATCTGACTATGTCCCTCTATCTAATGGGAATCATAGAAAGGGAACTATCCATAGGAAAGACTCCAAAAGATGGAAATTAGACACACACACACACACATACACACACAGAGACAGAGACAGAGAGAGCAATTTGGGGTTTGATTTCCAAGAAAACCCTGGAATAAGAGAAAGACCTAGGAATCCTGAGGGTAACTTCTTTCTCCATTCATCTTGAAAATACAATAGTCCCCGCTTTGTCCTGGGAGCTATGTTCCAAAATTTCTAGTGTGTGCCCCAAACCATGGATAACACAGAACCCTCCACCTACTGCATTTCACTGTAGATCTCAGCAACCTGAGCCTTTTCACCACTATGACCAAAAGACCTGATGAGAATACATACAGGAGGACAAGTTTATTTGGCTCATGATGGTTTCAGAGGTCTTAGTCTATAGATGGCCGGCTCCATAGTTATGGCCCCAGGTAAAATAGAACATTATGGTGGAAGACTGTGGTGGAGGAAAGCATCTCAGGACCTAGCAACAGGAAGAAGAGCGAGAGCTCAGCTCACCAGCAACAAAATATAAACCCCAAAGGCACCCTCCCAGAGACCTGCCTCCTCCAACCACACCCTACCTCCCCATGGCTACCACCTGCTTAGTCAGTGGGTTCACCTACAGATTAAGCCACAACTCATAATTTAATCATTTCACTCTAAATGTTCTTGAATTGTCTCACAGATGAGCTTTTGGGGTACACCTCATATCTAAACCATGATACTCAGCTTATAATTTTTCCTTTCCTTTCCTTGAGAACTTTTGCCAGCTTATCCAAATTGTTATCAACACTACTCTTACATTTGGGGCCATTATTAATTAAAATGAGGGTGACCTGAACCCAGCATTGCAATATGACAACAATATATCTGAAGCCAAGATGACCAAGTGACTAGTGGGCAGGTAGCACACCCAGCATGGATACGCTGCACAAAGGGTGATTCATTTCCCACGCAAGATGGAACAGGATGGTGCAAGTTTCATCACAATACTTGAAACAGAATGCAATTTAAATCACATGAAGTGTTTATCTCTAGAATACTCCATTTAATAATTTTGTCCACAGTTTACCATAAGTAACTGAATGTGTGGGAAATGGAACAGCGACTCAGGGGAGACTACTGTAGTATTAAAAGTAAAATTGAAAAACCATGGAGTATATTGAAAATATCCAATCCACATAACACTGTTTTATTCTCACAGGCCAGTTCTCATATCAAATATAAATATGCAAATTAATGCTGTATAAAATAGGCCAGTGCAATTATTTCTTTACTTTACAAATAATGTTAATATTTTATGATTACAAAGTAATACAAGATCTTATTCAGAAAAATATAAGTTACTTAAAATCCATACATTATAGAATTCAACCCTGAGATTATTTTGATCTATTTCCTTTCATATTTTTATGCCTTAGCAATTAGGGTAAATTTTTGAAAAATGCTTTAAGAAATTGGAATCATATATCTATCAGTGGAACTATGTATATTAACTTCTTAATAACCATTCTATAAAAACATGATTTTAATAGCTGCAAGTAATTCTGCATTTTCGTAGTTTTGGTCATTCTCAACTTTTCTTTTTCAAATTTTCCACTCATATGACACTGAGATTTATATTTTGTAAGTAAGTAGCATTTATGTGGCTTTGCATACCTGTTGGAGAGAAGACAGTAAGCTGCTTTGGTTACATCTTCCCCAAAAAAAAACCAGAAAGAAAAAAATAATACTGTCAAAATGACATAGAAGCAGTTAAATGATTTGTGGAAAAATAAGAAAAATTGATTTACCCATGTAATCAAAGGAAATTATATGGGTCTTCTAGAAGCGCTCCACCTGACCCTGGATTATCGTTTCTTAAGACAGTGGGAGCACACCTGCCACTGGCTGATCGCCCTCAGCTGAGTCTGAAGGCCCTGTTCTCTGTGAGACCTTGCCCCAGTGTGATATGATCTGGGGGCCAAGCAACAGCTAATAATGCTTCTGTGCAGGCAGAGGCCATGCCTTTTGACTGGCAGCAACTCTTCGGCTTCGCTCTGAAGCACCCAGTAGGGTCAGCAGAGGGCTGCATCCTGGGGCACCCCAGTTCCTTCCTCCCTGGGCTGCCTTCTGCAGCCTCCCTTCCCCAGGGCTGTTCCTCACGCCCAGCTCTAAAGTCTCTGCTTTCCAGGGAGATGGCCTGACCTGGAGCCCCAGGTGCCAGCCTCCACAGCCTGAGCATTTCCTCTTAGTACCTGGAGATTTGCCTTCCTGTCTTGAGCTCAGCTATATTTTTAAAAATATTTTGGGCAATTTTTCTACTTGTTTATGACTGAAAGGAATCTGTGCTCGCTCGGCCAGTGGAGTTAGCAGAGAAGAGCCTGCCGTGAGCTGGCTTCCGGGGCCTTTATCATCTGGGGCCCCACCTCACTCCCTCCATTTCCAGGCTCTGGAGTCCCCTGGTTAGCTCTCACTTCCTTCCTGTTCTTGAGGATGTTTCCCTCCTTCGTCTCTTTCCTAAACCTTCCCCTTTGTCTTCATTTCCTTTAATAAAGCTTTTTCTTTGCTTTTTTATGCTTTTTTTTTTTTACATATTTTACCTTTCTATTGAATTTTAGTTCTCAATTTTTAATCTTACACTTACGGTTGGATTTTTTTCATCTTATTATTTGGTATTGGTGTCCAGTTTTTAAATCTTTTATTTTAAACCTTGTCAATTTCAACTATGTCCTAAGCCCCACCTTTCATTTTTATTGACAGTCTACATTCAATTTTTTGTCATTTCTCATTGTCGTCATGTCATTTCTTTCCTTTAGTTTGAAGCAGACTTGTTTTATTTCTGTTATTTTTAGCCACTATATTGTCTCGAAAAATTCCTCCTGCACAGTTTTTTACTTGTTGAAATTATACTGAGATCTCTTTGAGGCTTTGTATATGATTAAATTCTTGTAAAACTTTCAAGAATACCTGAAAAGAATATGTACTGTCTTATTAAATTATACATATATATGCATATATATACACACACATACATATACAGAAAATATAGAAATATCTAATATATATATATATATATATATATATATATATATATATATGGCATACATATAGCAGTTTACCTACATATATATCCCTATATAGAATCATTTAATTTCTACATATGTGAGTGTAACTATACACACATACATATATGCATGATTATATATATGCACATATATAAACATAATTTATCAGAGTGCGGAAGAATCTGTCTATAATGTGTTTCTACAATTCATAACAATTCTTAGCTCACATATTTTGGTCATTTATTTGTGCTCATGACTTCTATATTCTTCATTGATGGGACTACCATTCTCAGTATTAAATGACTCTTTTTGAATCATTGAATATTTTTTCTTTAAAGTCTCCCATTTTATCTTTGTTATTATTATGATTATCATTATTATCTTGTGGTTAGGGGGCTCAAACCCAGATCCCTGAGCCTGCTACACAAATGCTTTGCCACCGAGCTATATCCCTAGCCCTCATTTAAGTATTATTTTAAACATTTCAAAGTTTACCATGAACATGTAGTTTGATTTTTCTCACATAATCTGCATCTTTGCCTTTTTTAGTTTGAGAATTCTCTTTGTTTATATAATTACTGGTAATTATCATAATTTCTAGATTATTGCCTTTCCTTTGTTTTTCCTACTTGTGCTTCTTTTCTATTTTCTGTCATGATAGGCTATGATTTCTTTGAAATCCATGTTGGAAATGCAGCCACATTTACTTGACTCTCTTTTATGTCATCTGAAGCTCTTCACATTTATGTGCTTCCCTTCTTCCTCCTTCCAGTCCTTTGTTTTAATTATCTGGAGTGACAACTCTGGATTTGAGATCAACTAGGATTCTCCCTTCATATCACTGGTGATACACTATTACTATAGTTAGCGCCAGATCTATACACAAAGGAGGTAGGACAGTAAAAATTCACCCAACTGAAATCTGTCATCCTAATCTGGAAACTCCGAGTCCCTTTCAGAGTCAGAGTCCTCACAGTTCTGCTGTCATGCTCACATGTATCTGATCATTTAAATTATTCAAACAGTTGTGGTGTGTGAAATAAGAAGACACGAAGATAAAGAGGAAATTAGGACCTCACAAATTCGTGTCTGAAGGCCATGGGGACAGCTTGCTTTCAGGATGTCATCAGCTCCTGTGAATAATATGTAGCTCGTTGAGAAAATAAATAAACAAATAAAGGAGTGACGACTTTATCAGAGCTTTAGAAATGCAACTATCTTTGAGTTTAATGTGCAAGTAGCTACCC